CGGTTTTATCGCAGGTCCGCAGCTTGCACATGGTCGTAGTCTCTCGTCCGTTTCGTGTGGGCTCGTCATATATAATATATATGTTATAGATATACGTTACGGTTACATCGCTGTACATACGCATACTATCTAATATTATTATTATTATGTATATTTAGGCCAGATGACGTCGCAACGGGCTACGCATCGATAACACTTWTACGGAGGCACATTCTTGCAGATGCTTTCCTCCACCGAGTATCTATTATACTTATAGGCGCGTATTAAGAGGATGTAAGCGCACTATTTGTTTTCTCTCTCTGGCCAACGCTCAACGTAGACGAAACGCATTTACGCAGAATCATTTTTTCAATATGTTTTTAAGTAGGTAATGTCTTAGATTAAAATCGCCCATTACAAAAAATATAGAAAAAAATATCATTTCTTTTTTTAAGGAATTACGCCATATCGATCTGTCTAAATATTATCTCAAACCAATAGAATTTAACATTTGTTCGTTTATTTTGAAAGTCGAATACAAAAATCAAATAAATATAATACCGATATATGTCATTCCCACAAAAACATTATTCTCTATCGTTTTTTCGTTATTTTTTGTAATGGGTAATTTTACTCTAAAATTAAGTGGAGAGAAGCATTAGGTATTCAGGTATCTTATTTTATACCTACTTGATAAGTCCTATACAKACGATTGATTTTAAAAACATTCCTAAACGATTTTACTTTACTTTCAAAGTATACCTAGCTTTACAATATTATTTATTTAGAGTAGTACCAACCTTACTAATTGAGTAATGAAATTGTATAATCATTGTTACCTAATACTTTTAAGACTTTTAAGTATATGTGTAGATCAGCACCTATCTAGCTAGAGCTATAATATTATTCTCGGTCAATTTTTATCTTTTTTTTTCTCAATTTGATTCATTTTCCTGTAATAGATTSTATTCRTTTAAATTGTCATTCGGATAATTTCAATAGTTACCGTTATTATTGCATTAAATATTACTGGTGCAGGTACCTGCATGACGAAAAGACRACCTAAAAATAAAATTAAGAATGACCTGAATATAAAAGATATGAATATCAATTTCCATCTCATGGGATTATTGAGTACATTTAAATRTCACGAAAGGCAGTATAAAGATAGGCATAGTCGTTGGCACGGAAAGGAGAGGGGTAGGCTGCGGTCTCTGGCTTTTTCTTTAAGAAATTCATAGATATCTGATATCTGCTATATACCAGTGGTCTTCAAAGTTTTTTCACTCGCGACCCAATTTTCTTACCATACATTGATTGCGACCCATAATAAGCTTACGCGATTAAAAATTTGGTAGCAACCCATAGTTTGAAGACCACTTAGTATATATAGATTATTATAGTAGATCACTATACTAGATTATTTTTATAATATTGCATATATTGAATAAAATAAAATTGTATTTTATACAATTTATAATTTAATGTTTAACTTTATACTAGTACTCATTAGTTCAAGAATCTTTGGTAACGTTGGTTCAGCAGACCTTTTTAATGTGCCTCTCCCCTAACCTGCCACTCGGCGGACAAAGTCAGCGCACGCCTTTTTAGATTAGGTAGTGGGGGTTGTTATACAAACTTAAGTACAGTAATTGTGTATTTCATATTTTATAATTTAGCAACTACTAATTAAATGAATCGAGGACGGGCTGCGACTACGGATAATCATATGATATGGTCGCGTCAAGCGGCGCCGGCCGGACCATGGTGTCCATGAACTCGTCGTAGTCGACCATTCCCAAGCCGGCAAAGTCCATGCTGGCCACCATTTCGTTGGCGTCTGCGGCCGTCAGCAACTTTGGGTCGAACTCTTTGAGCACGGCGCGCACGTGGTCGACCGTCACCTGGCCGGTGGACGTAGGGTCGCCGGCCACCAGCATGGCGCGGAACCGTCGGCGCCGCGCCCCGTCTTCGGCCCACCGACGTGCCACGGACGCCGTCCACTGGTTAACGGTGATGTGTCCGCGGCCGTTCGGGTCGTATTCGTCCACCACGGTGATGACGTCCTCGTCGGTCGCGTCCACGCCGACCGCTCGCAGTGCCGTGTACAGGTGCCTGACGTTCATCCGGCCGCCACCGTCGCTGAACATGGCGAAGGCGGCCTTCGCCTCGGCCAATAGTTCCGGCGGTAGCGTGGGGCCGCCGGTGGTGACTTCTTCGTCGCCGTCGTCGTCCTTCGACGGTTCCTTCTCGGGTAGTTGTTCCGAGTCGTCGTCGTCATCGTCATCGTCGCGTGACGGTTCCGACGCTGTCGGTTGCCGTGCGGCTTCAGACATGTCGGATGGCGATAATGATTTGTAATATGTTGTTTATTATTTTTTCGACGTCCGTTTTTCGTTTGTCTATAAAATTATGTCTTACCAGTCAACAATTGATGATATGTAGGTATAATATATGTATACATTTATGAAATACCTAGGTAACAAAATGTGTTATTACGGTTAAACGTTTTTGCTCGGGCTTTTATTGTAAGAAATATCAATTCAAATAAATATTTTGAAAACTTCTAGTCGTCTARAGCCTGGTTCACAGCTACGCTCAACTGTGTTGATCAAATCGYATCAATGATAATTGATAATAATATCAAACCTCGACAGTGTTTTGTACAATTTTTTAGAACCAAAACAAAAAACACCCTGCCAAACACGAGAAAACCGGATTTTTCTACGGTTACCTCACACATCTCACACGACGAATCAACTGAGATGTGAACCTATATGAAGAAAAAGCAGATTGGTTAGTTTTACTGAATGTAGAGCAATTAGGGAACTTTGACGACGGTTATCTTCTATTTAAGATGTTTTATTTTCGAACCTTGCAAGATGCTATGCAGTATAACTGTATATGGGTGGCTAACACCTAGATACGTATAAGGCTGTTCATTAGATATGTGTCGTATAAATCCAAATTTATATTACCATAGTATAGTATATATATGGTACCTTTACTTAATTTTTTTTTATTGATAAAAGACCCTCGCTAACATAGTATTTACAAACGATTTAATTTGGCGATTGCATAATATATTATCTAGTTTTTTTTTTTTTTAATTATTCCGATGGTTTTTAAACCTTACGTATCTTGAAGTTTGTTGGCTGTGATGAACTCTATAATGTTGGATATCGATTGAAGACCACGAATGATTGCCAAGTATTTCGATTAATGATTCRACTGCTGAAGGCTGCCGCAGTATTTYAACACTTGACTGTTTCTCCACCCATCGCCCACATATACCAGCTATGTATAGGTTAGGTTAGGTCCTAACCTTCAAGACTCGTGGTACTAGGGCCCAGATTTAGTACCAGGGCCAAAAATATGATATGGGGGGAGGGGCGGGTACCTTATATAATATATTATTTTGTTATGCGAGATAATATATTTTCTTTAAATAATATTATATAAGCAGTGAGATCGACCGCGGCGCCGATGCGATTTTTGATGTGCTGCTTATGTAATGCGCTCCGTCCGGGCGGAGAGGAATTTACGAGGATATCGTTTTGTAGGCGAGGGGTGGGGATGGGACCGTTTATACGATGAAACTTGCATGAGCTTTGCTGCGCCTTTCACGCAACAGCTCCTTGCAGGGTTGTACGAGTGTTTATACCGCGTGCGTATAATATTAACTTGGTAATTAGCTCAGCGGGGTGGACGGCGACGGAGGCGGCTACTCGATGAATAATAATTTCTGAATACATACATACATATTGGACGGGCGGCGACGGCGACGGGTCGGGAGAAGGAGAGGAAACGGAATAATAATACGCCGAAAAAAAAAGAAGAAATTTATAAATATATTATATAGCAGACCTCCGACGCGGCCCGAGTTGCGGGTAAATATTCGCCGCAGTCTGTGCCGAAGAACGCGGGAGCCAACACGCGTGAGACGGAAGCGGAAATGGTACAGACGCCGGAGGATTGACCGTTGTACAGCGTTTGCTTGCCGCAAAGGCTCTTCGGAGGACTGTGTCGCGGCAACAATATCGTCGTGTAAGTCGCCGGTGGACGTGATTGTTTATATGTATATGCCATTGTGACGGAGGAGGTGGCAGGGAAAGTCGGAAAATATGCGTTCGTGTGCGCAAGCGCCGAARATCTCATTCCAACCGAACGACCAAGACTGCTTACCTATATATAGGTATACCGGATGTTATCTGTAAATAGGTAGGTATACCTATTATGCATGATATGGAGTTCGTGCCTAAACAATATAACATCATCGCGACAGTCGWCATAATAGAGTTGAGGTATGTAGTGTGTTCATCATAATAATATATTATATTATGACTATACCAAATCGGTGCAATGGATTCGTAGAAAGGGAATCCTCCCCACCTACCAGACATGATATAATATAATATAGGTGTATATATATACTGCAGTATTGATAAAAAACAGTTTTACCTATCATGATATTATACATACATATATACAATATACTTTACACAGTAGCGCAAGGGGGGGGGGGGGTTATAGGTATTAGAATCGTCTACGTGGTTTGGGAAGATGGGCTAGAACATGTTTATTAGGGTTAAACAAAAATATCTTTATTGTATTACAATACCTAATTCACTGTGACGCCATTACAGGTATATTAAAATGTTATTAATATAAATATTGGGAATCCCCCCCCCCTTTATTTACGAAATTTGGATCCACAATCATAAAATGTTATAAAAATATATTCAGAGGAGAAATTAGGGGTTATATTGCCTCCCCCATCGTCTTTTTTTTCGACCTACAGAAAACAACATTAGTTGAGAGTATAGCGTTTTTAGAGTCATTACTTAATACTTTTTGTTAATCATTTGAAAAAAGTTATTACTATTATGGCAATAAAYATTCTCTATACAGATACTTGCAGAGTACATACTATAAAATATTAACATAATATATTCTAATTATCCTTACTTTGCTATAGTTTGTATACAATTATTTGTATTCAAAGATCATGTATATAGGGTATCAACTATCAATATAATACAATCATGTGTTATCTTTATCACTATTATCAVTCATCAACTGTAGTCCAACCGCCAAAATACTTAATGAAATTATGAAAATAAAWACAACTGTTATCCAAAATTACAAACTAAATGAAATTCAGTGATATAGGTTAATGATGTTATRTTAGTAGAATAACTTGGTATGAGAGTGTGTTATAATTKTAATAGTTTTAATTTAAAAAAAATTGATATACTTAATGTATGTTATTTTAAATATATACACAATTATTAACTAAAAATGATTTGGGAGAGCTTGGAACATAAACATTTGAGGTTTTTGGTATTATACTATGACAATGCATTAAATTATATTATTACTCATAAAGTCATAGCATCACATTGAACATTTCTAGGCACGCGACTGAACTCATATAGTATTATATTATAGAAAGAATACTTGGGTAGGTAATACTACATCATAGTAACGTTCGTGTTCGTTACATCCGAGGGCGCCCACACGAGGGAGGCAAAAGGGTCATTGCCCCATATCCTGGACATTTAACTGAATATACTTAAATATCGATACCATACTATAATTAACATTATAAGGCTGCAGTTTAACTAACGATTCAGAGGTTTTGTCATCTCTGAAATCAGAAATCGATAATATAATGTACATTTGTACATAGAGTACTGAGCAAATAAAAGTAGGTAACTATATAAGTTATATAGAGTATACCATATATATATATTATGTTTTTGCGGACACGCTGTATATATGTATAGAGCGGTCTCGAAAAACTCTAATAAGTGATTCGTACAAACGACTATTGGGCGGCTCGTGTGGAAATCAGAGATCTATTGAAAACCCCGACCGGATTCGCTCTGCGGGTGCGAGGGACAGATTACTGCTGCAGTATATACAATTATCGCTACTTCCAAACATTTTTTTTTTTTWAACTTTTCATCGCATGACGAGATTTTTTACGATTACAATAATGATTATAATATATATAATAATAATAATAATCAGTCGTTCATTGTGCGCGCGCACCGCGCGTTGATTACATTATTATCAGTACTTTGGAAATGCATGCAGAAAGAATGGGCGTGGGGAATATACCGAGAAATCGCTGTCGGGCAAACGCGTCTCTCATTTTTACTTTGGTAAGTTTTTTTTCGCTGAAGTTTCGTGGTCTCTCCGCCCACCATTACGTATTTTATACATTCATGTATATGTTATGATCACGGCTAGGTTTTCGTTTATGAATGTATATTATAATGATATTATAATGATATTATATCCGACACATTTTTTCTTCAGTATTTTTCTCTTCTATACAACAAAATACTTTATAATTTCGATTGGCCAAATCGTCTACACGGCTCACCGACGAATGATCATACAAAATTATTATTATCAAAACTAAGGGTCATCATTCGGCATTCGTTTTTCATAGGCATGCGCTCGTACACATTTTGGGATCGGAACAGGAATTTTTTTAGAGRAAAAACAGCTAAATCGAGAGGTGTACGATTGGTACGATCTGTCGATCTATGTTTACGGTGCTTAATCATGCGACAAAAATTATATGTATCGTGTGAGGTCAATTGCATACTTACAACTGTGATACAAGTAATTTACCTCATAATAATATAGGGTGACTCGTCCATGATATTGGTTATGAGATAAATTTAATTCGGATTTAATTCGTTGCGTAATTTTCTCTATTGACGGGCGCGTATATATTATACAAAATCGTTTACCCATAATGTGCACTTGTTGGTATATTTTACGCACTTGTTATATAGTTCGATCGGATGTGGCAATAAATTTCACGAAAATCGTTACGTTAAGCAGCCGCGCGCAATCGTCTCGTATCTGGTCCCGACGCGCGCGTTATATTACACTACCTATATATATTATAATAATAACATAATTTAATATTCTAATATATGCAGTGAGGGCCCGTGTGCAGAGGACACTTCGACTTCGGGATGTATGGTTCGACAGCGTGATGGTTTCGGCGGGGGTGAGGGAACCATCACACTATTGTTGTATATGTCCGTAARATATTATGACGCGCGCTCGTGCAATATAACAACAGCGATATTATATTAAAATAGCAAATTAAACGTATATATAATATATATATTATTATATTATTTATGCTCACCTGTTGAACGTCGGCCAACAGGACGAAACATTGATACGTGATAGCATCTGCTGATAACCGCGTATAGGACGTGGCATATATGCGCCAAATATAAAATAATATATACAAACATGTATACATATATAGGTATATACGCGTATGGCATTCGAATTTGTGTCTCTACACTATATATCACTTATTATAATATATAGGTACATGGCTGCTACCTATCTTCACACACACACACACACACACACACACTGGGCGCATACCCATATACCTATATAATAGCCTGATGTGGTGTACAGTGTATACACGTCGCGGTGCTACGCTTCCATCATGTGCGTTCGCGTACGTGCCCGGTCCGGTGCAGTTCTGTCATTGCGGTCACGTAAATATTATAGTATTGTTATAGGTATGGGTTAGGTACCTACCTATATGAATATATATAGTACGCGTTTATGTACGCTGCAGCAGACGCACAAACGGCCGGCAACTACCGGTCCCGCCGAATCGTACTTACGAGGACGGAATACTAAAAGCTCATATTATATTATATATAGAGTTAGGTACCCACCTCATATACCTACACAGAGTCAGGAGCGAAACGCGATGATGGGTGGGTTATTATCCTACACGATATTATATACTGCTGTATAGCTTATATACGTAATAAAATAATATGATAATGATATAATTATATAGGCACATGTCATATGATTATTATTATTATTATTTTTGTGTTATATTGTATACTTACGTTTTGTCTGGTCGGTCGTATTTCACTTTCCAAGCAACCGGTTCGATGTTCGTCTCGCGTACGTCCGTCTGCGATGCGCACGTCCCCTCGGATCACCTGCGCGTGGGTTTAGTATAATATAATATTGTTATTATTATCATATTATTATATATGCGAGTACGTGCAAGACAGAATATTCTTTTYCGCGTCTATTGTGACAAAAAATATAGTACCTACTACCTACCAAACAGAAAAAAAAAATGTTTTAACGCGTGTTACATATTATTATATTATGTTAAATTATTATGATATATCATCGTCGTTGTGACGACTGATGCACGTTGTACCTACCTATTTGTATATGATATTGTTCAGGTTATTTGTCCACTTCGTCAGCCCTGCCCGCAACAATCGCTTCGCCTTGACGAGTAGTCGACGCGAAAAAGATTTTTATTTGCATCATAAGCATTAGGTAATATAGTGCAGAATTACKATTTGTGTTTTTGTAGTAAAAGGTGAAATAATTATATTGCATATACTTAACAAACATTTCAATACGCTGATATGATAAACTTATACATCGATAGAACTCGCGCTGAGCTCACATTTTTTAATTTTTCAGGAATTTGAAATTTTATGAAGATTTTGTAATAAAAAAAAAATATACTGATGAACTGTGTGTGCCCTTAATCATCATTTGAATAGCTTTGGGCCAGAAAATTGATTAATAAAATATAAATCTGCGTTTTTTAAGGACGAAGGATTATTAACTTTATTACTGAAAATCGGGTTGAGAATTTTTGATTTTTGCGAGAAAAAAATGAAAACTTTATCGCGTGTGCGGTACCTTATATGCGATTATAGTTATGTTTAAGTTTAAGGATTAGTAAACGAACATTCATAGTGGTGAAACATTTATTGCGTTTTCATATTATTATATATAAATGTATTATGTATAACGTATACCTAATACATTACATGATATAATGATAAACGTAATAAAACAATAAAATATACTCAACTGAATAATGATTAAAATTATTAATTACACGTTTATTTATATATTTTTTAAATTAATGTACTTAGGTGAAGAGAAAAATTGCTTTCAGTTATATATATATATATATATGTGTATAGTAATATTGTGAACTGTAGGTACTTAACTCACGCATTGATAACCGCAGATCAATGTGTGCCAATTACCTATTATCAATATGTATCATTATTATAGGTAATGTTATATATATAGATGTTGATGTATCAACATCACGTTTTACGATTACAACAGAAATATTATAATTGTATGAACATTATTGAGACGAATACCTATTTAAAGTTATAATACACATTACAGACATATGATAATGATAATATGCTATATATATATGTAGTATGTACATAATAATATACCTACATATAACACATAGCAAATAATAATAATATTATTATTTTCATATATTTTATATTTTATTGATACTATTTAATATGGTTAAACTATATTATACATTTTACGTTTGTCATTCATCAAAAATGCTCCATCAATAAAAAATAATATAATAATATTAAAAATACTTATAGAAAAATAATTCGATTTATTATTTTAATTTTAATAGTAACACAATATTATCGGTTTATCACCATTGGAGAAGTGTAAAAAACATTTGAAACCGCAAAACTATACCGCGCAAATTACTAGAGTTAATATAACAATCGTGAGTTATAGACATTTATCATCCAATAGTTTAGTATTCTCATGTCAAGAATTCAAAAATATGTATAGTAACTGATATTTATAGAGCGTACCCTGTTTTTATGAACACACGATAATATACCGAACTTTTCAGTATAGGATAAATCGACCAAGGAAAAAAAATATTATTGTAATTAAATTCAAATTTTACGATACCATAATATACTTGTACAGTAATTTTACAAGTATATTATATAGATACCTACCKTCTCTGGCAAGTTTGGCTACGTAGTTGTATGCAGCCAAAATTATGTTATCGGTATAGGTAGGAATATAATAATAATATGTTATCGTACGCGCTGATGGCGCVGGGAAACGGAACGTCTCGGTTGTCATTGCGCTATCACACAAACATGAAATATTATTTATCGTCTTTCTTGATACACTTCGTGCCACCGCCAACAATCTAGCCATGCGACCAACCTGCACAACTGGTGAAAATTATTGTATTAAACGTAAAATATGAAATATATCTCGAGTAAGCAAACATCATATTATTATATAATATTTCGGCTACAACCATACATCGGACAACCAGCCAACAATTTATTATASCAGCAATCTATCATCGGTTATAAGTTCGTAGTCTGTTGCGAATTGTACGTCGTCAACCTCGACAACAGCTGCAGATAAACATTCAAGCAAGCAAACAAACAACAAGCACCTTACTTTATAATAATAATAATATACAATGAAATTTCCTATTCTATTGTGAAAAATAGCGACCAATTCCAAAATAATTCAAAAACATACCTATAGCGCTATAGCTATTATAATGCGTTTTTGTGGCTGTACGTTCGGTTATAGGCTTTATTGTATGATAAAGCGCGATAATAATGGTTTATTAATATTATTATTATTATTATAATCAACTATTTGAATAAAAAAATCTAACTTCACACACATATATATATATATACTTTTCTTCTTTTTTAATAATATTTATCAAGAGTTATGTGCAGTTGCCGTCTCTTTGGTAGGAACATTGTATTTTAGGACTAAGCCTAACACTTCAATCTCCCTCTTTCGCACGGCCGCTCCTTAAATTACAATATAATTGTATAGTCTGCAGTATTACGCATATTATTATTATAATACCTATGCAGGCCATACTTGAATTGTATACAATGCGATGGTACGCATGCCTCCCAGCTCATTTAAAATTTTGCGAATTTATCCATGTAAATTAAATAGCAAGAATTTGTAAGACCACTGCCGTAATTTGAACATCATYGGTTTATACAGAAAATTAAATTCATGTTTTTCCCGGCACTCAAATTCCTACTTCTTCTACAGTCAAATATCTAGGACTTATACTTGATCGCAGACTTACCTGGGCTCCTCACCTTAGATCTAAAAGAAAAAATTTAAACCTACGGCTGCGCCTGTTAAAAACTTTTTGCAATAACAACAAATACACACACATTAAAACTAAACTCCTAATTTACAAATCTCTAATTAAGCCCATCTGGACATACGGCATACAACTCTGGGGTTATGCAAAAATTTCAAATATCAACAAAATACAAACCTTMCAAAACATAGCGTTAAGGAAACTACTTAATGCTCCTCCTTATGTCTCCAACCTTTCTATTCAGCAAGATCTCAGGATGAACTCCGTCAAAGATGAAGCAAAACTCTACTATAAGCGGTTTCACAGTAGGTTACTGAATGATCCTAACCCTCTTATAAAAAATCTAGCAGTCCCTTCGATTCCGGGCAACCCCTTCAGACGTCTCAAACGTAATTGGTGTCGTGACCTGCTAATAAATGCTTGATTCCTAGATCAAATTCCCCCTACTAAACTTAACAAAATAGGTAGTGTCATCATTGGGTGGCTTCTTCCGTCATATTATTCATGTTTTTTTTATTACTCTTATCTAATTTGCTTATTATTATATGAATAGATTGTAAATATCTTGAAAAAAAAAAAAAAAAAAATGTTTTTCCCGAGTCCGCGTCATTCAACCAATAGAAAATCAAATTTTCCGTTTAATATAAGCCAATTCTAGACAAATTTCGAGGGAAATGGTCGTAAAAAATSGTGTGAATTCCCAAAATTCGAAATGGGTAGGGTTAGCGGAGAAAATATGCATTAGTTACGTCCCAATGGGGGTCGTTGTGGATTTAAGATAATAATATATATAATAAATTATATTGTCAGAAAACTGGAATTTGTAAATTTAAAAAAACTCGTMAGATTATTCGTTGAACCTTATATTCAGGTAGAAACTTATTATATTACTATGTAATTATTTTTTCTCGATGTTAATACATCGTAGTACAATATTATACCCATCATACATGTTATGTTATTATGTCTACGAGTCACCATCAAAAACTCATTGGTTGTCGGATCGGGTCTGCAGTTTGCAGTYGGACGACGGTTGTGCGTCCGTCTGCTGCACGTAGTAACAGCTCGTCGACTTGGTCAGAGATGCTCTCGGCAGGTCGTCGTCGTCTCCGCCGACGGGCAATATGGACACATCTTCTGTTTTTCCGACCAGCTGACGCCTCTCACGCCGGTTTTCGACGTTATTTGCTGCAGCCCTATGCCCGAGTATCGGCATGCTGACGGTCGTCTTCAGAGGTTGTTTGCGGTCCGACGAGTTCGTCAATTCGTCGGCCAAATCGCGTCTGTCCATTGAGACGATAGACTATAATAATTATGACGTATGATATATTAAATTATGATTATATTAAGTTACGGTTGTAAGCAGCGACGACAGTTATTAACTACTTATCTGGTATATAGTTACGACTAATATAGGTATTATACCAAACAACGGTGTCAACACTTACAACTCGCCTTCTCGGCTATTGCCTATCAGTAGCCGCGATGTGATTAATGATATTATGTAAAATATTATTTTATCGACAGGTAGGTACTTACGTATTATATTATTTACAGATTGTACGAAATAAAAGCGTTTCCGGAAATGACGACTACGACTATATCGCGACTGATTGATTGCCAAGCTGCAGTCGATCGATCGATGAGCTTTGCTCGTAATTATACAATATTTATAATAAAGTTCGATTTAGGTGTAATGTAATACCGTTTATGATGTTGTTATTTTAAACAGTTTGCAATTCATATATAATATAAGTTGTTATTTTATCCGTTGCCTCGTTGCGGCGTGTGATCTTTGATTGTTGTGCAAACAAACGACGACAGTCGATTGCTGCAAGCTTACCGCAACATATTGTATAATATGTACCTACCTAATATTATTATATTGGTTAATTAATTAAYTAATTAAATTATTATCAGCTGAGCGCGACCACGGAGACGATAAGAAGTTGAAAGCAGGAAGAGTTTAACGGAAAACGGTCAAAGGGGAAGGTAAAAGGGAAATAACTCGTAACATATTGCAGTGCTGTAGGTAGCTACACGCCTACACTACTCTACCCAACACCACTGTCTAAACTTTCAAAGATGATAAAAAAAATGGGTTAATTGAATGATAAATTTAATGTATTCAGATCATCATGGTACCTATATCGAAATAAAAATATTCCGCTTCAGTTCATACTGAGTTAAAAATATAGGTTATCATAAAAAAATCTACCGCTATGCAAATTCAGACAAAAAATATTATTAAAGTAAGTACTTAAAATAATAAGAAAACGAAAATTCTTTGAACCACCCAAATGTGACTGGAATGTTATTTCATTCAATTTGAAATGCCGACGTGGTATAAATAATATTATAATATATTGACTGTTATATAGAAAGTATACCAATGCTTATTAAAATTTATAAAATTATMGTAAAATATTACATAGGTTTACAAATATAATTGATAAATAAGTTTTCAATTATCGACCATGATATTATAATATGATAGTGAACAAAATTTTGGAAAATTTCAAGAAAAACATGCTTTTTAACAGAGTCCCCGAAAATATAGAAAAATCATTATAGAATATTAAAATAATACATTTTCGGAAAAAAAAATCAAATTTTTGTGAAAATAATAACATCTTATTTAAGACTTAAGTACGCTTAAAATAATTCTAAGTTTAAAAAATCATGATTAAAAAAAGATAAGGGAACTTTTTTTTTGAATTAAAACAATTTTCAACACTTAATAAATAAAATAATAATAATTGTTGACATCATGTATAATTATGGCTTAATTAAAGCTGCACCTAACTTTAAATACCTAATTGTTTTAGCTAATAAGTGTTATATTGAATATTTGAATATATTCTGAACACTGACCTCTCACGATTGTTTTCAATTGCTATACCTATAACTATACAAATAGTTGAGACCAATATAAACAATTGCAAAAGAAAGCGTGTCCGGTGTCTAGGAAAAATAATCTAAGTAAGCTAAAGTAATTATTTTTATTATTTTGATAACCTTTAAATGTACCTACGTTCTATAATACGTACCTAATATATCATGTTTGATAAAAAAATAAAAAAAATGTTAATCATATTCATATCATAGAAGTAAAATTCACTCGCCTGATATTCCACGTAACATAATATATTATAATATATGTGTTTACTATTTCAAGCGATGTATGTAATAATATTATGTTATTAATTTATACAATTTAAGACCTATTGACTCAATTTTCGACCATAATCATTATAATTAAAACAAAACTGCTGTAGGTAGTTTATATAATATAAATGGGTGTAAAATGCATAATAATATATACATACCGATACAGCCCATACGGTTCCGTGTAGGATGTTTGTATAAATTTGAATATTACATTTCGGCTATTTTTGGATTTTCGTTAATCCACAATTTCGTWACAACCACGGTTTGGGTGTATCGCACGAGGTTATATTATCTAAAGCCTAAAGGAGTAATATACCTACGAAAATGGTTTTTATTGTTTTGTTGTCTTGTAAAACGATATTATCTGGCGATACACAATAGTAATTATAACATTCTTACAAACATAAAAATTTTGTAGTTAGATTTTCATATAATATTATATTCTTAAAAAACAAAAAATATAACAAATAATTATAATTTGAATATTGACGGCATCATAATAGATATAATAGTTTTAACGACCACTATAAATCACATAAATAGATTTATGAAATCTCGGAATTTTCAGTAYCTATTTTACAACGAAAATTAATACCTAATATTTTATACCCTATATTACTGATGGATATTTCACGAGAGCAATTACACAATATAATTTTATAATATACTAATATAGTATACTAAAAACTAATTAACTATAAAATGTATTAACAGATATTTGACAAAAAATTATTATTATCATGGAATTTATAGTAGGTATACCTAGTAGCCAGTATAGCTATATTCCAAATAACGTTTAATTGTAAAAGCAATATTAAAATATTACGTAAATATTATATTATAGTTTTTTATTAAAGTAGAAAAATAAAAAATATACAATCTGTATAACAAAAATACAATAAGTAATTTGGATAACAATTTTTATCAATCTGGACGGCTTGAGGGAAGGAAGAGTCCATTGACACTACTTCCAATATGAACTTAATTTAAATTTAATTTAATTGCATAAAATAATTATAAATATTATAGTTATAGTATATTTACCTACACGTACTCTGGAACACATTTTTGCAAGCCCGGCTACGGGCTAGGTATTAATTTGTATTCTCGTAACACGCCACTAAAATAGTATTATATCATCGATATTTTGGAATTTATAGCTTAAAGATTAAATGATGCCATGATGCACTCCGAGGCATTTAATTGAAGGTAAACACTGAATTTTGATGGATTTTATTGATCAAGTATAGAGAAATAAAGATACTTTGTTCGATTCACGAGAGTTGCCAACACCCTATGAGGCTTCATACCATTACGGTGGTATTATACCATAAATCTTATACCACGTATAAAATTATGTTTGGTACCTATAAGGTCTATATATAATGTATTATACCGTAACCGTATTTTTGTAATTTGTATTTTGTGCGGTTATTCACAGTGGTATTCTATCGGAACGACCGCTAGTTGAACATGTTGGTAGCACTGTAAATTTCGTTTATTTATGTCTTGTCGTTCTACTCGTTCTAGATCAATTAGTTGTTGATCATATTATTTTAATTACTAAATTAGCATAAAAAACCCCGTCTTTTAAAAAAAAAWTTTTTGAAATTCGTTAGGGGCATGGTAAAGTGCATTTTAGCCAAGATTTTTTTCAAAGACGTAATGGTTTCATAAAAAGTAAGTAAGTACTTAGAACTATTATATTATTATAACAATATGTAAAATCTCTACTTTGGAACCTACATTAATATGACAAACAAAAGTCGTTGACTAACACTGTATAGATTACATAGTGTATGCGAATCATTGTTTATACATAATATTTTATATACACATATATTAAAAATGCAAAAATATATATATACAGGGTGTACCGCAAGGATTTACCCATTGCGATATCTTACGAAATAATGGAGATATCAAAATTCTGGTTTTATAATAAGATTCATAAGGATATGAACTAAAATTACTTCATTTTTAAATTTATTTTAATGTTTTTGTAAAAAATTTGAGAAATATATTTTTTTATTTAATTATTTCCAAAAAAATTTTATTTTCATTAATTTCCTGATTTTTATTATTTTTTCTAGTTTTGAAGAAATAAAATATGATTATAAATTTATAACTATTAGGAACACGGAAAATATTCAGCCTTCTGTATGGGAATGCGCGCGGCGCGGCGGGTCACATGTTTGATAACATTACCGTGTTAAATAATACGCAATTTTTCTCGAAACTAAAAAAAATATTTAAAATCGGGAAATAAAAATTTTGAAACTTCAATATTTTCAGAAAAATAAACTCAACAAAATGGCTATCTTTAATTTTTTTTGAAATAATAAAATAAAAAAAGATATTTTTTAAATTTTTACCAAAACATTAAAATATGAAATAATTGTAGTTCTTATCCCTGTGAGTCTTATTACAAAACCAGAATTTCGATATCACCATTATTTCGGGAGATATCGCAATGGGTAAATCCTCACGGGACACCCTGTATAGCACCTGAATTATATTATTATTTTATCTTACTGGTAATGTATACCAATGTATATATTGATAGATTGTAGGTAGATACAATCATAATAATATTATTATTATTATTATTGTACATGTGCGTGGAGAGATGATGTGCGTTTAAGCAAACCTTGCTGCTCCGGCAGCGTTRTATTTTTAAAATGAATTATTCAACGGAATAAAAGTGTGTGGCCGATAATATTATACATTTATATAGGTAGTGTATACACCACCGCCAAAGTTGTATTAAATTATATATATATATATAATAATAGTAATATAATAGTAATAATATAATAGTATATATAATAGTATTATATATATATAATAGTTCCTCACAACTCTCGACAGTTTATAGGTACCTATTACATATATAGCAGTGTAGAACAAAAGGCGTGGCTAGCGGAAAAGCAATAYTTTTTCTTTAATCTCGACGACGGGCAAAGGGGTTGAAATATATTTCAAGTTCCGACAGACAGCGACAAAATAACGCAGAATACGCATTTGAGCAATATAATATATTATTTTATCATGGATGTGATATGTATATGATTTGGCGTCGACAGATCTTGTCTTTATTTTTTTTTTCATACAATAAGGTGGCTCATCCGGTGTGTACTAGTTGCGGTCATAATCAAAAATTACGTACTAGTTGCGGTCATCCCTCAAAAAGGTTGCATACTAGTTGCGGTCACCCATCAAAAAGGTTACATACAAGTTGCGGTCACTTAAAAAATAATAATAACTAAGTATACTAAATAATATAATATAATATAGTTTATATAATAATTAAATATGAAATTAATATTTCRTTTATTTATTTAATTTAGAAAAATGTATCAATCAACATTTTCCTTCCAATTTATATCGAAAATATAACATACTTAGGACTGTCTACACACTATTATTTATTGTGTAGGTATAGTTAAAAATGTTGATACTTATGTTTAAATTATTCGAATATTCGAAACTATGATCGGAGTATACAATTTAATCTATTTTATTTATAAACGCTGTGTACATTAAATCGAAAAATATGTTTATCGTATAATATAAATTTCGCCTGGAATTAGAGTATAATAAAGCTATGACCGCAATTAAGATAGTACCTA